AATTAATTTATATTTTACTCTCTCATTCTCTTTGCCATTGAAATTAAGCAATGATATCTTCAATTGTCCTTATTTCGAATAAGATTCAAAATTTAGAGTCAAATATGTTACAATTGAAAAATCATGAACCAAAGTGCTACAACCCCCAAACTATAGGGATAATTAGTAAAATTCGCCTATAATTTTTTGTTAGGTGTTAACCCTTTCTGAAATAGTTAGGAAATTCTATTTCTACACACTTACCAACCTCTGTGCACACACTTAATGATTTATTTTTTTATTATAGTTTTCTCCTAAATTAAAATTACTAAAGTGTCCTTATCTTCTCCACCAAAACCCTAATTTCTTAACCCTAACCCTAGCTACCGCCCACCGCTATTGCCGCCACTATTATAGTTTTGGAAATCTGAGTTCATGGCAATCTCTTGATCTCAAAGGCCTTCTTTTCCCTCTTTAAAGCTCATGGAAAAATTTACTCCGAGCAGCCAGTATACATCTGTGAACACCTATTGGGATGTTCTCAACAAGAAGCTCTGTGCCACTATAATCACAGCTGGAGTCAACTAGAAGTTGTTCTAAATTATAGCTAAGCTTCCTTAAACTAATGATTTCAACACTAGACCCTCCCTGGAAACCAGAGGCTGGTGGTATATTGTAGTTAAGGGATCCATTCGATATAGAGGAAAATGAAGTAAAGTTTATTGATGAAGATGGTTCAACAAAATTTTCCATTAACCAAATATTTGAGAATTTGAATCCTCCTCTTGTAGCCCAATTAAGGTTTATATCGATCATACACTATCTAGCCCTATTAATCTACAAACACTCTCTCTCTCTCCACCAATAATTTCTCCAGCAGCATCCCTAGAGACTTTGGGAAGAACCGTCTCTTGTTGTCGAAATTTTTTGACAACGGCTTCTCCGGAGAACTACCAGCAGCATTGTGCAATGGTCTTGCTCTCGAGGAATTGACGGTGAACGACAACAATTTCACCGGGCCATTGTCGGAATGCTTGAAGAACTACACTTCACTAGCTAGAGAATAGGTGTTGGTTTAGGGTTTCAATATTAAAGAGAGGGATATTTTTGTCAAAAAAAGTTATGCATTGAGTAAAATTACAAAATTCAAAATTAGTTGGTGTGTCTATTGAGAGAGGATGTGGTGTGAGATATTTTGGTGTGTGGAAATAAAATTACCTCAAAATCTTGAACTTGATCTGTCGACAAAGATGCTAACGTGGCTTAACTTATACGGTTGTGGTCCAGGATGATAACTTGTTAAATAGGTATATGTCTAGAGCAAGTGTTGGAATCACAGCATGAAGTTTTGAATCTCGACAAGAGTGTTAATGTGGTGCAAGTTCTTTGATCGTGGTCCAAATTGAAGATTTGTAAAGTGGACAGGTGTCTTCATGTTAGAACATGAAACGAAGTCAGCAGTAAGAAGAAAAAAAAAAAAGGCAGTTAGAAGCAGTTATAGAAAGTGGACAGTTTTCCAAATGATGGCTGGAGTCCACTTGCATCTTTTAAAAAAGGATATGTGTAGGGGTGTAAATTTGGCCCGGTCTAGTCTGGCCCATGTCAAGTCTCGCGAGTTCCAGCTAAAATTTAGGCCCAGACCCAAGGGTATTTGGGCCTTGGCTGGGCCAGTGGACTTGGGCTTGGGTTTGGGCTTGAACAATCTTTTTTGTTTTTATTTTTTATTTTTTCAACCAATATTTTATTATTTTCCATTAAAAAAGATACTGGGCATCAGGCAGGCCAGGCCACGGGCCGGACCTTGAGTGAGTCTTAAGTGAGCCGATGGGCCAAGCCAGGCTTCTAAATGATGGCCTAGGTCTAGGCCTAGGGTCTCGGGCTAGACTCAGGCTCAGGCCCAAATAGGCCTAAACAGGACGGGTCCACCCCAAGCTGAGGGCGGGCTTCGGGCCGCCCACAGGCCGCAGACCATTTTTACACCCCTATAGTCCCTATTGTAAGGAGGCACAACAGTCAATTTTTAAGAAATTATGGTGGAGACGGAGTTTTGAGGGGAATTACTCTCTTGATTTTGTGCTTTTTCTAAATAAAATAATTTATTTTGTCAAAAAAAAAGGAAAAAAATCATGGTAGCGTTTGGTAAAATTTTCTAAATATGATTTGAGAATAGAGTTGTATTTTGAGTTTGTGAGTTTTGGAATTATAATTTGAGTGTGAAAAATTTATTTGGTTATGAGTTTTGAAAAGAGTTTTGAATTGAGTTTGAAACGAATAATGTGATATATGATATTTAATTCAAAAACTTAAAACTCATAACCAAACACATAACCCAAAATCTTATTAAAAGCTCATAAAAAAATTTAAAAATTCTAGAAATATTTTTTATTTAAAATATAAAAATAACAGATGCAAAAAAAAAAAGAAAAAAAAAACAAACCGAACACTATTCTAATCAATCGGCCAGACGTCCGGGTTAGCCAAATTTTCCTGCCTAGAAAGGAGTTTTCAAAAGTGTGTATAGAATTATAATTTAAAATCTCAAAACAAATACCACACTGAAATCAATGGGTGGAAATGTGTTGAGAGAGCTTCTCCAAACATAGCCAATTTTTTTGTCAAATTAAGGATGAACCAAATCTTTCATTAATTGTTTGGGATGAACTATATAAGTGCACTTTTTGACTTTTTGGATAAAAAAGTAGAGAAAAAAATATGATTGTTTGAGATAACTTTTTGATTTTTTACGAAAAAATGTGTATTAAAATATTGTATAAAATAGCAAAATTACCGTAGTACCCCTATGCCCTATGCGTACTGACATTGATGCTCTAAGGAACAAGTACGGATTGCTTTGAAATGAGATGGTGCCTTCAGAAGATATATATATATATATAGGATGAGGCTTCCTTATATATATTCATTGAACTGGAGGGTACTCACGGGACTTGTTTCGATAATTCGAACCGATCAATGTGTAGAACTCATCGAGTTCTATATGGCAGTAAAAAATCACATTGATCGGATATCAATAGCTATGTGATCAAATCAGTTTTGTAAAAAAATGGACGATAAAAAATAAACAGTTGACAAAAATCTAATTTGATCACATAGCTATCGATATCCGATCAACGTGATTTTTTACAGACATATATTACTCGACGAATTCTACACATTGAACGGTTCGGATTATCGAAACGAGACTCGTGGTGGCCCCTCACGGGCCCAACAGTACCCTCAAGTTTGATAAATATATATCTAAGTTTTTTCATAAGATATATGAAAAGTATCGCACAAGCCCCCACACATGAGCTTGTACTATCACTGAAGGGTACAATTTTTGCTTGTATTTTTTTTTTTTTGGGTTACTTTTTTAGTAATTTTTTGGCCTTTTGTTTTTTATAGACTATCCCAAACAGACACTAAATTTTCAATAAGTTTTTTCCTTTTAATTTGATTCCGTCCCAAAATAATAGTCTATTTGGAGAATTTAATTTTTTTTAGTAATAAAATTATTACATTTAAAAAAAATAATTTTTCAAAATTACTCTTTTGATAGTACAATACATTTTTTTAGGAAATATCAATTATCATAATTGCACTTTTATGTTGTTAATAAATTTAAAAAAAGAAGATAAAATAACAAATTTATATTATTTTATTCCCTAATTTTTTTTTAAAAAAAAGACTTATATTTTGAGTGGGATGGAGAGAATAATAAAATTTAAGATGAACAAGTAATTTTTTAAAAACTTTTGATGAAATTTAATGAAAGATTGGAATAACCCATATCAAAACAAATTTTTACTCATTTAAAATCAAATAGTAAAAAATTTAACTAATTCCTTAATTAAATAGTAAAAAATTCCTTAATCAAACAGTAACTAATAGTGTTTACCAAAAAAAAAAAATAGTAACTAATAGTAAAACATTCCTTAATTAACTAATTCTTTAATCAAATAGTAACTAATTCCTTAATTTAAAATCAAATACTAAAAAATTTAATGACAAAACACCAATAAATCCCAAATCTTAATTTGTTAAACCATTTGGTCCTGCCTTTTATTTTATAGACTAATAAGTCCTATTTGAATGTTAATTACGTATATACACATTTATTTAACACGTAATATTTTTTGATGGAGGGCAAATGTAAATTTTTACTAATGTTGTAATGACAAAAATACCCAAAAAGCTTACTATAGGCCTTTTTATGATTTCCCTCCTTTCTAAACATCAACAACATTAACTACATCAATAACATTAACTACATCAACAACATCAACTACATCATCAACATCATCAAACATCAGCAACGTCATCAAACATCATCAACATTATCAAACATCATCAAAACATCAACTACATCATCAAACATTGTGAACATCATCAAACATCAACAACATCAATATCAACTACATCATCATCATCATCATCATTAATCATCATCAAAACACCAACAAAACATCATCAACATCATCAAGCTTACTATATCACCAACATTGTGAACATCAAACATCATCAAACATCATCAACATCAATATCAACTACATCTTCAACATTATTCACCAAACATTGTGAACATCAAACATCATCAAACATTAATCATCAACATTGTGAACATCAAACATCATCGCCATCGCCGCGCGGAGGGCTTCGTCGGGGCGGCCCAAGCGGAAGAGGCGAGAGATGAGTGCGTCGAAGGCGCTCTTTCTGGTGAAGCCTCTGTCGAGAGAGGTTAGGGTTTGGGAGAGGTCGTCGAGGACGGAAAGGTCGGCCCAAGCAGGAGAGGCGAGATACGAGTGCGTCAAAGGCACTCTTTCTGGTGAAGCCTCTGTCGAGAGAGACTAGGGTTTGGGAGAGGTCGGTGGAGATGAAATTGAAGGTGTTGGTGGTGTTGAAGAAACCGTCTTGTGAACACTTGTTGAGGAGGCTGAGAACGGTGGCGAAGTCCTTTTGACGGCCAGCGCCGTCGATGAGGTGGTCGTAGAAGGCAGAGTTGGGTTCGTCGGGGAAGGAATTTGGGATTTGGGTGGTGGAGAGATTGGGAGACCTACAAAATAAAATCAATATGGGTAAAATGTAAATTCCATATACAATATATCAAAAATATATATTATACCAAAAATAAAAAGAACTAAATGGTTTAAGAAAAAACACTTAGGACTAACTACAGCAACCTTTACCAAAATGGGATTTATGAGTTATTTTTCCAAAATTTAACTCATTCCTTATTCATTGATCTTGAAATTCGGTAATTCCTTAATTTAAAATCAAATACTAAAAAAATTAACTCATTCCTTATTCATTGATCATGAAATTCAGAATTCCTCTCTGCAATCTCTCTCTCTCTCTTTCCTTATTCATTGATCCTGAAATTCGGAATTCCTCTTTGTATTGTCTCTCTCTCTCTTTCTCTCTCTATATATTTATATATCTAAATGCATATATATATACTCGCATACACGTACAGTATTCAGTGGAATTTATATACTCGCATACACGTACAGTATTCATACGCTATGGAGAATTTCTTATTGCTTAAGATGATCTTCTTGCTTCTTATTTGCGGTGTTTCGATGTTCCTTGAGAAGATGATGCTTCTTTCGACATTTCTTCAGACAATGATGTTCTTCTTGGTTCTTATTTGTGATAGCTTTCGACTTTCAGGTTCTCCTCTGTGATTAGATAGTATAGTAGTATCTGCTTGTGGGTATTAGTATATTGCTATCTGCCTGTAATTTTCATTTCACTCACTGTTATTAATTTCCTATGTCAAATGTGTTCGATTCCTGCAGCAATTAAGGAAGTTGAGAGCAAATCAGCAAGCATGATTACATCTGAAAGTGGTGAGCAACAACATCGGAAGTTGTTGAATGTATCTAGTCAAACAATTAGTCGCACGAGTGGGCTTTTGTCATCTGAAATAGGTAGTTTGAATATCAAGAGAAGGAGAGCGAAATTGTTAGAAGAAGCAAGAGAGAGTGTGCCTGAACCTGGGTCTGGAAGAGTGATGCATTTGATTAAGGCCTTCGAGAAGCTTCTTGCGATATCGCAGGACTCAGATCAGACGGATGAGAAATAATCCAGTGTGGGCTCCTCTTCACACCTTGGTTATGATGTTAAGTCTTGGTGTGTCTGCTACATGGTCGCAAATCAGTTATACGAACTTTGTGAAGCTATGGGGCCTAAACCTACCAGGTATTTATCTACTGTAAATATTTCCTTATGTTGGCTACACACAGCTCTCATTCTGTTTTCTCAGGTTGACTTCACTTACATTTTATTCTACTCACCATGTGATCATGTACCATCTTGGGCAGTCTTGAAAGAATTTAATAGCTATGTGTACTTATATTATTGGTCTTTTTTATCACTAATAACATAGACACGTACATATATGTAGTGTTTTGCCTGTTTTCTTTAAGTTTGAGTCTTATTTATGTCTTGGTGTTTCAGTAGTGGCTCTCCTTGCTCTTTTTTTTTTAGAAATGTTTAATTGATGTGATCATATTACTATTTAAGGATGGATTTGGTTCCTGCATATGTGTGCTTACTTCGAGATAATGAAGCTGAAGTACGTATAGCAACTGCTGGCAAAGTCACCAAGTTTTGCCAGATTCTTAATCCCGAACTTGCTATTCAGCACATTCTTCCCTGTGTAAAGGTGCATATCTCTCCCTCTCTCTGTTTTCACACGCACAAACGATCATGCATACAAAAATTTTCTTGTTTGTTTGTGGACCTACTCCTTACCCATTGTGCCATTAATGTCTTGTGTCTTATCACTTGGCAACAACATTTTGTAGGAATTGTCGTCAGATTCTTCTCAGCATGTTCGCTCTGCTTTGGCTTCAGTTATAATGGGAATGGCTCCTATCTTAGGAAAGGTAAGAATTTCCTGTGGAAAGTTTTTTTCATTAACTCTAGTTAGGGAGGCATTCATTAGTTTCTAATTTGTGCATGCAAAGGTGAAATATAACGATGCATACTTTGGGTTTTTTTAATGGCCATGTTGATTAAATTTTGTCGGAGAAACTAATTGTGAGAAACGATTTAAATCTTTTAGTTGTAGTAAATGTGCTACCAGCTGCAAATAATGGGGAGGGCATTGTTTACTAAAGCATTAGAAACCTTTCACCAATATGTATGTTTTTGTGTTGCTTTATTTTGTACTTGCCTACTTGGTTCCAGGTCAGTCTGACCACTTGTGGGGTTGCTGAAGTGATTAATTAGTGCCTTGACTTGGATGTTGTTGTCATTCTACAAAGATGGTTCAATATTTTATTATTCCTTACTTTTTTACCCCTTACAAAATGATATTTTGTTCTTCATTGACACTATCTATAGATTTAGCAACATTGAATGTTTTCTATATTACCAAATAGCACTTGGTCCAAACATCTGAGGTTTTTTCCTTTTTATTTTGATTTTATATGTGCTTGTGGCACCCTCTGATCAAAATCTCAGAAGGTTTGTCTTTATCTAACTACATTTTGTAGATTGGCATTTAGTGGATTTAAATTGTTGATATCACCATCCCCTTTGACTTATATTTATATGAAACAGATATGGTTGAGTAAATTTCATCTTCCATCACACTTGCAGTTGTGTGTTTTAATCTGTTCATCTTTTGAGTTTGCGGTTTTATTTTATTGCTATAAATATCTACATTTGTAGGTTGGCATTTATGTTTTGAATGTTATGAAGTTTGTTAAATTTCTCATGTATTACCCCAAAATTCTTTGTGGTCTATCATTTAGTTTTTTTTTTTTTTTTTTTTTTTTTTTGGGGAACAAGCAAAAACAATCATAATAATTTCTCTCAACTGAAAAATACAAAGATTAACAAACAATCTAATTACTGCAATACTAAGAATACAGAATGATTTATAGAAATATAATAAAAAGGTTGAAATTAAACATAAATATAGGAGGCTTACATTTAAAATAAATCTCAGCATATCATTGCACTTTTTATGATCGATTATGTGTTTTGATTATGTATCCTCCAAATTAATATTTTAATTAAGCATTTTAAACAAGTAACACAAGTGAAAAGTCTGTTGAAGATAAAATAAAAATAAAAAAACAAACAAAAAAAATAATTAAACATATTTCAGAACCAATATGAAAAGACACTTAATTTTTAGGAATTCATCAATCCCATTAATGTATTCACTCGACATCCTATTTGGCAAATCAATCCAACTCTTATCCATCATCTGTACACATCCACAAGAATATCTCACCAAAGTAACTCTAAATATAATACCTACACATAAATATTCACTCGACATCCTATTTGGCAAATCAATCCAACTCTTATCCATCATCTGTACACATCCACAAGAATATCTCACCAAAGTAACTCTAAATATAATACCTACACATAAATATTCACTCGACATCCTATTTGGCAAATCAATCCAACTCTTATCCATCATCTGTACACATCCACAAGAATATCTCACCAAAGTAACTCTAAATATAATACCTACACATAAATATTCACTCGACATCCTATTTGGCAAATCAATCCAACTCTTATCCATCATCTGTACACATCCACAAGAATATCTCACCAAAGTAACTCTAAATATAATACCTACACATAAATATTCACTCGACATCCTATTTGGCAAATCAATCCAACTCTTATCCATCATCTGTACACATCCACAAGAATATCTCACCAAAGTAACTCTAAATATAATACCTACACATAAATATTCACTCGACATCCTATTTGGCAAATCAATCCAACTCTTATCCATCATCTGTACACATCCACAAGAATATCTCACCAAAGTAACTCTAAATATAATACCTACACATAAATATTCACTCGACATCCTATTTGGCAAATCAATCCAACTCTTATCCATCATCTGTACACATCCACAAGAATATCTCACCAAAGTAACTCTAAATATAATACCTACACATAAATATTCACTCGACATCCTATTTGGCAAATCAATCCAACTCTTATCCATCATCTGTACACATCCACAAGAATATCTCACCAAAGTAACTCTAAATATAATACCTACACATAAATATTCACTCGACATCCTATTTGGCAAATCAATCCAACTCTTATCCATCATCTGTACACATCCACAAGAATATCTCACCAAAGTAACTCTAAATATAATACCTACACATAAATATTCACTCGACATCCTATTTGGCAAATCAATCCAACTCTTATCCATCATCTGTACACATCCACAAGAATATCTCACCAAAGTAACTCTAAATATAATACCTACACATAAATATTCACTCGACATCCTATTTGGCAAATCAATCCAACTCTTATCCATCATCTGTACACATCCACAAGAATATCTCACCAAAGTAACTCTAAATATAATACCTACACATAAATATTCACTCGACATCCTATTTGGCAAATCAATCCAACTCTTATCCATCATCTGTACACATCCACAAGAATATCTCACCAAAGTAACTCTAAATATAATACCTACACATAAATATTCACTCGACATCCTATTTGGCAAATCAATCCAACTCTTATCCATCATCTGTACACATCCACAAGAATATCTCACCAAAGTAACTCTAAATATAATACCTACACATAAATATTCACTCGACATCCTATTTGGCAAATCAATCCAACTCTTATCCATCATCTGTACACATCCACAAGAATATCTCACCAAAGTAACTCTAAATATAATACCTACACATAAATATTCACTCGACATCCTATTTGGCAAATCAATCCAACTCTTATCCATCATCTGTACACATCCACAAGAATATCTCACCAAAGTAACTCTAAATATAATACCTACACATAAATATTCACTCGACATCCTATTTGGCAAATCAATCCAACTCTTATCCATCATCTGTACACATCCACAAGAATATCTCACCAAAGTAACTCTAAATATAATACCTACACATAAATATTCACTCGACATCCTATTTGGCAAATCAATCCAACTCTTATCCATCATCTGTACACATCCACAAGAATATCTCACCAAAGTAACTCTAAATATAATACCTACACATAAATATTCACTCGACATCCTATTTGGCAAATCAATCCAACTCTTATCCATCATCTGTACACATCCACAAGAATATCTCACCAAAGTAACTCTAAATATAATACCTACACATAAATATTCACTCGACATCCTATTTGGCAAATCAATCCAACTCTTATCCATCATCTGTACACATCCACAAGAATATCTCACCAAAGTAACTCTAAATATAATACCTACACATAAATATTCACTCGACATCCTATTTGGCAAATCAATCCAACTCTTATCCATCATCTGTACACATCCACAAGAATATCTCACCAAAGTAACTCTAAATATAATACCTACACATAAATATTCACTCGACATCCTATTTGGCAAATCAATCCAACTCTTATCCATCATCTGTACACATCCACAAGAATATCTCACCAAAGTAACTCTAAATATAATACCTACACATAAATATTCACTCGACATCCTATTTGGCAAATCAATCCAACTCTTATCCATCATCTGTACACATCCACAAGAATATCTCACCAAAGTAACTCTAAATATAATACCTACACATAAATATTCACTCGACATCCTATTTGGCAAATCAATCCAACTCTTATCCATCATCTGTACACATCCACAAGAATATCTCACCAAAGTAACTCTAAATATAATACCTACACATAAATATTCACTCGACATCCTATTTGGCAAATCAATCCAACTCTTATCCATCATCTGTACACATCCACAAGAATATCTCACCAAAGTAACTCTAAATATAATACCTACACATAAATATTCACTCGACATCCTATTTGGCAAATCAATCCAACTCTTATCCATCATCTGTACACATCCACAAGAATATCTCACCAAAGTAACTCTAAATATAATACCTACACATAAATATTCACTCGACATCCTATTTGGCAAATCAATCCAACTCTTATCCATCATCTGTACACATCCACAAGAATATCTCACCAAAGTAACTCTAAATATAATACCTACACATAAATATTCACTCGACATCCTATTTGGCAAATCAATCCAACTCTTATCCATCATCTGTACACATC